AAAGAGATGCGCAGGGCGAAGTCCAGGAGGGTCTGGGCACAGGAGCGCCGCCCCGTGGAGTGGCGGTGTGCCACCCTCCCAGTGCCTGGGTGTGTCCGCCAACTGGAAGCGTTCCCTGAACCCCCTACTTCGAGGGTTTTGACAGAGACCTTATTGTGCAGGCGCGATCTGTTGTCAACTCATTCTCCAGGCCCCCAGCCCGCTCCTCTCTCCGGAGGGTGGAGCGGAGAGTTCCCAGCTGTAATCCTGGCTCGTCTTTCCAGCGACCCTCGCCACCCAGAATCGCCTCCTTAGAACAAAAGACAGTCCCATCACCCAGGAAGTTGCAAAGGATTTAGGGACTCTGTGTCAGAGCTGGGATGAGAGACCCGCACACGTATTTCTTACTCTTTCGCAAGCCTGAGCCTCTCCCCAGGCCACTTTGCAGGACCCTAGACGAGACCGGTCAGCATGGCAGGCTCTGGCTCCCTGGCCTCTGGGTGACCGTTCCACGAGGGCAGGGCTGGCATGCGGCCCCTTTTCTCATCATGCTGTTGCCGGCCTGTGGGGAGAGCCTGGCTCAGCACGAGGAGGGAGAAGCTTTTGTGGGGCGAATGGCACCGACAGAGGGCAGGAGGAATTGAGGGTCCCCACGGGGGGGTTGGGGTGGGGGCGGGGACAGCCTTGTGGCTGAGGTCCCAATGGGAGGCGGGCCCGGCTGCCAGGAGAAGACCAGGGGCAGGCTGCTCTTGGGTCTGAACCCCAGAGCAGGTGGTGTGTAGGGGGTGAGGAAGGAGTCCCCTGTTTTATTGGGGGGCTCATATGTGTGGGTGGAGTAGCCACATCTGCCAACCAAAGGGGAGAAGGGGGCTTTAGATTAGAGCCGGGGCTCGGATTCCATCGCTTGAAGGCCCCAGCGGCGTGACCTTCAGCAAGTTACACATCTTTCCATCTAGAACTTGGACTCCAGAAAGAGGTGTTGGCAGCGGCTCCTTCGCTAGAAGGAAACTCTCAGCCTGGGGTCTGATAGGTGCGTTTTTTTCTTAAAACATGAAATTGACTTTGAGTGATTTTTTTTTCCTACCAAAGGAAGAACAAAGCTGTTTCCTGCCCACGTGGTACTTTTCTGTCTACTTACCACAAGCCACAAGGAAGAAATACTTTCCTACCTACGTGGCTTCTTCTGGGATCTTCCTCACTCTGGCTGACAGTCCTTCCTTGCTTTGTATCTGTGTGAGACAGTGACGTGCTAAGAAAGGATGTCAGCGCTTAAGGTCCCGCTGCAGGAGTTAAGTGAGAGAGAATGAGGGGAGGGGCAAGGTTGAAGTCAGTAGGTCACAGGCCTCCGATAAAGAGGAAGCCAGGAGACAGTGCCGCTCAGCTGGCTGCAGGAGGGGGAGGAAGGCCTGACGTCAAGAGATAAAGTAGCAGGAAGCACGGTTGTCTGCGGCCACTTGAAGGCGCTGTCCGTCCTGCCGGTCGCCTTACGGGCAGGAGTGGGACAGCTGCTCTGATCGAGTTCCCAAACCCAAACAAGATGAGTTCACGTCTCAGTGGGGGCCGACAGCGCCCCGCTGACCATGAGCTTTCTTTCGGCTTCCCGCCTTGGCCAGCGGTCTCCAAGGCTGGTCCTTTTCCTGCGCTCACCCGTGCACAGCGCGGCGAGGGCCGGGGGGCAGAGACTGGCCACGCCTTTGACCCACACGGCTCCTCGGCTCTTTCTACAGTGTATTCAGGAAAGAGGCCCCTGTGATCAGCAGGGAAGAAGGGGGGTTGCCCTTGGGGGTGAGCAGAGTTCTCTTCGTGTTGCTCTGACGATCCGTCCAGTCTGCGTTGGGCGTGTCTCAGTTGCCGTCTGACAAGCCGGTCTCCATTGCTTGGGGTCAAGGCTTAGAGTCAGGTCAACTGGGGGACTTGGGATGGGGTGGGCTGGACGTAGACCTCGGGGTCCCCCGACAGTGCAATCGATACCCCGCCATTACTTGACATTTGACAACTTCCAGGAGCATCCCCCCATCACTGCGTTGGCATCCGGCCTCAGCCAGTGCTCAGAAACGTAATCTGTTTCTGTCTTCACATGTTTGTTGAGGGCCTACTAAGCGCTCTCTGTCAGTGGCTGCAGGTGTTCAGAATAAGACTCTGAATCTCTGTAAGAGACACCTACCAGGGGGACAGACATGTATACCCGGTACAAGGGGACGAGGAGGGAGAGGGCAGGGCTGTGCATGGAGCTACATAGGAAGGGATCCAATTGAGCGGTGTTGAGCCTTTGCAGGGCGCCGGTTAGGACACGGCTCCGTCCCGAAGGCATGTGCTGTTTACCAGCAGAGGCAGGTGGATGCCCAGGCAACCAGGAATCTGCCACAGCACGGCGGGTGCTTAGTCTGGTGGCAGGCATGCCATGCCCTCCTTTAACGTCCCTACGCTCCCAGTGTGGGACGCCCCAAGGCCACACCTGGCCCGGCCCGCTTCAGTGACCAGCCCTCCGGGTCCCGCAGCAGCCGCCGCCTGCGCCACCCGTTTCTGGACTGGTGAGCCTGCTGAAATGAGCCGTACAGAGGAGACGTCACAACAGGACCCTGCCGCCCCCACGTTAGCTTCCCTGCTGATGGTCACAGCTCCGAGCATGTCCAGAACTGATGTATTTCCTAATGTAAGAGCAGCCTAAGTTGTCCATGAAATTAACAAGCAGAAAGAAATGCAGGTGCCTCTGAGTTCCTTGATGTTTTCCATTTCATAGCAGCGGGGGCACTCTGTTTACTTTCTGGCTTGCTAAGTACAGGACACCAGCTGCCAGCAGTCTCGTCCTGCATGCATGCACACATGCGCACACACATGACACGGGCACATGTAGACACTGACACACAGGCAGTTTCACAGCAGTTAAAGAGATGGTGGGAGTTGGATTGATTGATGTTAACCGTGGTAGAACTGGGGTGGTGGGTGTATGGGGGGCCCCTGTATGATTCTTTCCACTTTTCTGCATGTTTGAAAAATTTCCTAATGTTGAAATTGAAGAACTGCAAATTGCGTTCTCTGGAGTTTTCCATGAACAAATCCCCCCGAGAGCCGTTTCTTGGGGCAACACCACGCTCATTTGTGAGCATGGGGCGAGAGGAGCTCTGGAACAGAGGGCTGCCCGCCCTGCAGGCAGAGGGCTGGGGGGTTTCAACCCACAGATCGGAACCGGGGTTGGGAGGGGGCCGCCCCCTCTGACTGAGCCCGAGAGCCGGCACCTGCGGGGCGCTGGGGGAGCGCTTGCCTTATATACAGGGCAGGGTGCAGCACAAAGAACGCCCTCCTTTATTACAGAATCATAAGCGTGTATTTCTGCAACATGACAATATCACGCTCAAGCACACTGTATGACATTTTCGGTGAAATGTTAAAATTCAAAGTATAAATTATTGCACCCGTATTATTGCCCTACCAACCACACTCAAGCAGGTGTTACTTCTGCCAGACCCTGGACGTGTGTATGTAAAACTGACTTTTCAAAAGTTTTAACATCATACCATATATTTAAACATACTTAAACTTTTTTGAGACTAGACTTTATTTTTTCTTTTTTAGCTCAAAAGCCATGCCTGCTCTTCCAAGAATTATTTTTTAAATACAGACACTGCAAACAAGTAAAGCCAGCCATACATTTACAGCCTAAAGAAGCCCCTCTTGACGTTTTGGTCCATTTCCCTGAATCGTTTTTTGCGCAGCCAGCATTGCTTACTATGCAGCTGGCATTGCTTATGTAACTGTGGTGTTTTTCACTGGAAGCCGATGGGGGAGCCCTGTGGTGGAGGGGCCCCAGGGCCTCCGTCCTGTGGGCTGGCCCGGAGCCTGGCTGTGGTCGCACTGCGTCCGGGTTGGTCCAGACTGACTCCCAGGCAGACACCTGGCTTGTTCACAAGGTGAGGTCCTAGGAGGCCCGGAAAGTCTTGGGCTCCCTTCGTGCTCAGACAAAGCTCACTGCTGAGGGCAGCAGCTCTATTACCCTCCTTTTTATTCGTGTGCCCATCTCTTGAGCATCCACCAAAGGAAGGGCCCTGTGCCACGCCCTCTTCACGTGTCTCACGGCAGCCCGGGGGGAGGCTGCCGTCGGCCCCCTATGTGGGCCATGACAGCTTGTGGCGTGACAGAGTCCAAGCCCAGGTCGCTCGCAGAACACGCCGTGGCCCTGGTAGATGAACTCTTCAGGGCTCCTGGTTTGCTAAGCAGCCTTCACTGCAGCTCCTGAGTCGTGCACGGCCAGCGAGATGAACCTTTTTCCTACCTGAGAACTAGTGCGCAGAGAGCCTACCAGGGTTACCCGAGCCCCGTGGGAGGTGACCTGGCTCTTTGGCTTCTGGTTCACTGTGTGGCCTCAGAGCCAGAGAGCCGGAGGGAGGGGGCGAGACCTGGAGGGTGTGAAGGGACGGAAGCTGGGCGCGGAGTGCCAGGCAGGGGAGCCCATGAGCAAGGAGCGTGGGAGCTGAGGTGGGGGGTGGGGGTCATGCTCAGAGGTGAGGGAGCGGGGAAAGCATCGGCTTTGCAGACTGACGGACCTGGGGCAGGGCGCCTGGTGCTTTTGTAAAAGTGAGGATAGTAAATCCTAGTCGGTGGTTCCCGCTGAGCATGGAAGGAAATCATTTACCTGAAATCTTGCCACCTGCGTGCTTGGCACATTGCAGTCATGGCGCAGTGTTTCGGACTTTGTCTCAGAGACGGCAGGAGACTTTGAGAGCTTTGGGCCAGGGAGCGGGTAGATAAAGTGCAGGCGCGTGGTGGGCGGGGGGCGGACGCCTGGTGCCCAGCCTGATGGCTGTCCCCTGCCGCTGGAAGTACTGATCCTTGAACGGCTCGGGGAGGGAGTGTGAGAGAAAAAGACATTTCAAAGGGGGAGCCCACAAGATTTGGCAGGATTTGGTGGGGAGCTGCTTATGGGGAGGATTATTGGGCTTTGTTCACGGGCTTTTGATGATTCGGTTTACACCGTCTCCCCGTCCCTCCCCTGCCCAGCTCACTCGTGTGCTCTCGCCCTGCAGGTACCTGTGTGAAGTGCAGCAAAGGGGTGTTTGGGGCCGGCCAGGCCTGCCAGGCCATGGGGAACCTCTACCACGACGCCTGCTTCACCTGCGCGGCCTGCAGTAAGTGTGTGTGCGTGCGGGAGGAGGGGGAGGTGAGGATCGTTGGGGCTAAGAAAGGGAGGCGGGAGGGGCACCCATCGTGGAGACCCTGGCCCCTGGTGCCCCACGGCCTCACTGAAGGGGCAGTGCCTTCTGGAGCAGGGTTCCGTGCCACCAGCCCAGGGCTCATCCAGGTCAGGTGACTGACCACAGAGTGCCAGGAGTTGCCCTGGGTGGACTTTGGTGATACGCTGAGTGGCTTCAGAGGGATCCCGGCTAAGGCCAGGCTTGTAATGCCTGTCAGAGGTTTCCGAACTGTTGGGGGTGGGGGCGCGTGGGGATCTGCCACCGTCTGCCTGTTGCCAGGGCCCTCCCCTACGGCAGGGGCCAGCCAGCGACCCCCGTGGGAGGCGGGGCCCCTTCAACACTCCATGACTCCAGTCTTTGACTGGAAGGCTGCTGTACAAGTGTGAAGTGTGCACGCGTGTGCGCGCCTGTGAGTGCGCACAGCTCAGGAGCACACCTGTGGGCATCTCTGCACTCTGGTACATGCATTATGACCAAAGCAGCAAACCGGGGGACCGGGCCTGTGCCCAGCTCAGCAAACTTCTCCCCAACTTGATGGCGACCACAGTGGAAAGATTCTGACACATTGCACGACGTTTGCCAAGGCTGAGCAAGTCAGGAATTGTGCTTGTTTCGTGGCCTCTACCAGAGATTAGTTCTGAGGAGCATTTCTGGAACATGGCCCACGGATGTTCTCTAATTCTGTACCGAGGCTAGCAGCTGTCAGGCAGCAGGAGACATTACAACCAAGCTGGAGTGTCAGGGACGAAGGGGTCTATTGTTCGGCCCAGGGGTTCTCTGTCCTGGCTGCTCCTGAGAATCACCAGGGGGCATAGGAACCAGTTGCGCCGCTGCCCCGCCATGGCCAGCAGAACCCGAAGCCCCATGGGTGGAGTCCCTGGAGCGGGGCGAGCATACAGCTTGAAGCTCCCCAAGCGACGCCAGGCGGTGGCCGGGGCGAGCATACAGCTTGAAGCTCCCCAAGCGACGCCAGGCGGTGGCCAGGGCTGAGCGCCCCGGGTGCATGCCAGGCTCCTCATTTTAGGAGCCTCTGGAGGAGGGCGGGGAGGGGCCTGCTCTCAGCAGCCCTCTGACTCCCGGCCTGAAGTGAACCAGGTGGGCAGGGACCTGTCTCCCCACCTGCCGAGCCTTGATGGCCAGGGGCTAAACCTCCTGCGTGGGTCCTCACTGCGGCTTCCTGCAAAGCCCGGGCCTGAGAGCTTACCATTTGTGCGGGGGTCGGTGTGGACCTCTGTAGGGAGAAACTGGGAAGGCTTCGGAATGGATGTGAAGTCTCCTGAGAACCTCAGCGGAACTGCTTTGTCTGGTTAGCAGATTCCCCGGGCCCTGGGCCTTGCCTTGTCTTTGAGCCGTGCTGCACTCTGCAGATTGCACAGTCCTGATGGCGACGCACACGTTTCTTGTCTGTGACAATGCAGACTGTCTGGTGCAGGCGCGGGGGGCTGTTGCTCTGTGGGGATCGGCCGCTGTTGGTCTCATGTCTGTTCAGCAAGTCAATGCGCGCAGCCCCGGCGGCCACACATGTGTGGTTCCCTGCAGACTCCTGGTCACTGCAGCTCCCTGGTTCCCTCCGTCATTCGCAAGTTAAATAAAATCTCTGACACGTGTTTCCACGGTAGCTGTGCGAGAGTTGTGATTGTGCCTTCTTTTAAGAACCATCTTTGACTTTTGGCTCCTGCCAAAATATGTCTCAATATTTGCTCTTATTTTCCAGGATAGAAAGAAAATACCGAGTAGAAGCTGTGTTTCTTCTCAAGCAATTATTTGAACTAAGAAAGTCGTTGGGGAAAAATATTGTTAATGAGTCAGTTGGTTCCTCCTTTGGCTGCATGACTATTGATTTCTTTTTTTTTTTTAAAGATTTTATTTATTTATTTTTAGACAGAGGGGAAGGGACGGAGAAAGAGAGGAAGAGAAACATCAATATGTGATTGCCTCTCGTGCACCCCTTATTGGGGACCTGGCCCGCAACCTAGGCCTGTGCCCTGACTGGGAATCGAACTGGCGACCCTTTGGTTTGTAGGCCGGCGCTCAATCTGCTGAGGCACACCAGGTAGTGCCTAGCTATCAGTTTCTTAATGGTTGAGTTTATCTTTCTTCAAACTATGCCAAGCACAAAGGCTTAAGGAAGCGGCTGGGCTGGGTGTTGGGTCCAGCATTCAAGGCCCTTTTGGCTGGCCTCTGCCATTGCTCCCTGCTAACTTACCAAGTCAAACTGGATTCCTCTTCTCCACATCCGAACACACAGCGCCCTGGAATCTCCTCCCCCTGCTCTGCATGTTTAAACTCTGACCAGCCTTTAGGACCCAGCTCGCAGGCTGCCCCTTCCAGGAAGCCTTCGCCCCTCCCCTAGCAGGAAGGAGCCCTTCTCCTGAGTTGTCCTGCCTGCCTGCTCCTCGATGTCCTCCTACTGGCTGTGACCCACGCTCTGTGACTCTGGGGCCAGCCACCCAGGCCCGAGAGCAGAGCTACTGAAAGCATAGGGACGGGGACTCGCTCCAAAAGTGAGTGCTGCGCCTTCCTGTTTGCCACGGCGCCTGCACACACTCCTGTTGTACGCAGACATGTCACTCCCTCTGCGCTTGGACGGAGCGGCTGGAGACCAGCCATGTGTCTGAGCGGCTTCTCTGGGACCCCGGAAATCATTTGCCTTTGCTCGGTTGACTTCTTGCTGCCTGTGCCAGCTTGCAGCAGAAGGGGGGACCGGGGCGCCCTGCGGCCTGGCTGTGCAGGTCTAAGAAGCTCAGCGTCGAGAGGACGGCACAACTGCGGCCGGGCTCACCCACCCACCGCCTCCTCGTTGGTGGAGCTGGAAACAGAGGCCCAGAGAAGGGCAGACAGTTTCCCAAGATTGAAAACCTGGCATGGAGCTGGCTCTGGAGTCCAGGCGCCCCAACCTAGAGGAGCCTTGTGTGCCCCCGTTTTGCGGGTTGGTTATTGTGTGTGTATGTGAGTGTGTATACGGGTGTGAGTATCTTCCTGTTTCCCCGCTTCATTTATCACAGTAATAGGGATGTTTCTGTAGGCATGCACACGCGCGCACACGTACACACACTCACTTCTTGGATTGTACTGATAATTTATTAAAATAAAATGCTGGGATCTTGTCAGTTCATACACGCTTACAAGGCCAGGCCAAGGCCTGACTGACCTGACTGGCACAGACACACTGAGCCACTTGGAGGTTCAGACAGTTTATGACTTGCACAGACAGCGAAACGAAAGACATGCCCAAGGTGCCAGCTTCCTGGGTCCTTGTCCCACACACCTGAAAGGGTGACACAAAGAGGGGCCCGATGACGCTGCGGGATGCAGCCCCGCACCTCAGCAGAGAGGAAGAGCTGTCTCGTCTCAGTGACAGGCACGCTGGGGAGCAAGGGAGATGCCTCGACAGCCTCCCACCCTCTCGGGCCCTGGGCGGGTCCCAGGGGTTCCCACTCAGGCCCCCTCCTCCGTGGGGGGTGCCGGGTCTCTAGGATCCCGTGGCGGTTCCCCACCGACAAGAGGCGACAGCGTTCCGTTCGTTTTTAGTTGTGAGAAGAGCGTGGCAGCCATTGAGAAAATCTTAGAGGCAGACCCCTGTTCTGTTGCTGTCACATGGGAGTTTCATGTGTGTATTTTCCCTTCTAGGCTTTGTCCAAATTTATACAACTGGGTCCACAGTTTCTCCAAAATGTTAGTAAAGCATATCCTTTTTGGTTACTCTTTTGTTGTAAATTCGTCCCCATCTTTGCTGTCTTCCTCTTAACCATTGGAGCCGTTACCTAGTAACTGATGCGCGGGGGGGGGGCGGGTTCCACAGTTTGACTGCATCGAGCGGGTTGGATTCCAGGCTGTTGATTACCACCCACGCCTGGCAAATGCCTTTGTGCATGCAGTTTTTTTTTTTTCCCCCTCTGCTGAATTGTTTCCTTGGTGTTCGCTCCCAGAAGTAGCTTCCGGGTGCAGCATGTGGGTGTTTCTGTGGTTTGTTAAAGTTCTTCTCTTCTTTCTTGACTTGCTTCTCAGGCAGTGAGTGTTTGGTTGCCATGGAGATGGGAGCTGGTGTTGCCTCCGCACCCCCCCCCCACAGGCCCTGCCCACCCACGTGGCTGGGCCCCCACTGGGCTCCCGGAAGCTGCCGGCTGGCAGTGCAGTGGAAGGGAGGGTCAGTGAGGAGCGCAGGCATGGCCTGGCTGGCGGCCACAGCCTCTGCGTCTGGACACTGTGTGTCAAGTGGCCTGTCTGAGGAGACGCTGGCGCCCGTGTGAGGTTTCGGAGAGGTGGAGTGAGAAGGAAGAAAACGTGTGCTGAACTGGTGGGGTCAAGAGGAGTTCTCTTTGGCACCTTCCAGAATAGACGATGAGGGAGGAAGAAGGCAGGGCTGTGTCCTCACTCCCAGGCAGCCTCAGGTCTGGGAAGTGAGATTTTTGTCAATTTGTAAAGACCAGTGGAAGTCCGTCCTGGAACCCAGATGAGACCTGTTTGCCATGCGTGGCCCGTCTGTGGGAATTGGAAGGCGATGGGCTCGATAAGACATTGCCTGTGCTTTCCTGCCCTGGGTGGTGCTCATAGAACAGGGGTTGCCCAGGTCCTGGGAGTGAGGGTTGGGGCACAGGTGTTCTACGCTGGCGGGAACTGTGCCCAGTGCTGGCCTGTGTCCAGAGGAAGGTCACCGAGGGCCAGACAGGGCCCATTCAGGGGACAGGGCTGGGATGTGCAAGTCGAGGCCAGAGCCGGTGACTTTCAGTGCTGTGACCCAGTGCTTACACTCCTGGGTAGGGTGCACTGTGACCCGCTGGCTGTACCTCACGGGAAAACCCCTACAAAGTTAAGACTATATGCCATTTGCCCATCCCACCTCCCAGAAACCAAGCATCCGTGGTTGTTAAGGATCGAGAGAGGATTTTATAGTGAACTCTCACACAGGTAGACCCAGTCGGGGGAAGCCTGAG